ACAATTGAACACTCCTTTGTTTAGAGTTTAACGTCACAGTAAAAAAAATAACTCTTTACTTTTTATTTACTTTTTAGCAATTGGCAATAATTTAATTTAGGATTATAGTTGGTTTATTTATTTATTTTGAGGCATGGGCAGGTCAGATTGTTTGCTGGAGCTAAATTTTGTCGAAATGCTGCACATTCACCACATTTCTGCCAAAGATTTGAAGCTGTATTTGCTACCTGGCAGGAAGATCATACAGATGTGAGCTCTCTGATGATCATGGTGAGACTCTTTCTGATTTTGTTTTTCTGTGCATGTGTAATCCAGACGTGCATCCTGTAGGATTGGGGCAGGTCTGATCCATCCAAGCTTTCTGTCATATTTTCAAAGTGTACCATATTGTGAGAATACAAGAAAGAAACATGAAGTATTTTACAAAGAATCTTGGCAGAGAGAGGAAGTGTGAAATGTGGATCTCCTGAATGATATTTATGGCTGAACGGTTGTAAAGAACAGAAGTATCAGATTGTGAAGGGTAATTTATCCCAGAGACCCTCGTGTTTTGTTAGCCTTCCCAGCTTTATGCCATCTATCAAAATTAATGTCTCCGCTTTCGTCTGCAACTTATGGATCTTGACATGCAAGGATTTAATTATGCTACTTTTCACTTTGATTTCTCTATAATTCAGAAGCTGCATGTGATCATTAAGATGCAAAACAAAAGGTAGAAGGACTCAGGGCATTTTTTTTTTCCTCTTCAAAACTCTAACATCCACCTAAAATTATTCAGTTTTATTGTGTAGTTTGTTTATACCTTTTTATCATTATGCCTTTGGAAGGTTGGATTGGTGGCATTGCTTTATTTCTTGAGGAAAAGCAGCAATGAAGCAGTAAAAATTTGAAGTATTGTACTTTTGTTTCTACAAACATAACATTTAAATACCTGCTCAGAAAACGCAGAAGGCCTCGTCATTATTTGACAGTTTGAGGATGAAATCATTTCCCTTTGTTTTGGCTTGTCTGAGCGTTGGGGCCTAAATAGGATATGTGAGGTAAGACTGCGGCTAAGATTTTAAAGATGCTTAGGGAGAACAGCTGAAATCAGTGTTGGTGAGAAAAAAAAAATTCTTCTTGCAAATGTTAATGATGATGGATTTTGCTCAACAAAATCAATCCTATCAAGTATTAAATAGTAAACATGCTGTGCTTATTAGCTGTGACGATTATACCCAGATACAAGGACCAGAACAGAGACCAAGACTCAGAACAAGTTTATAGTGTTTATTTATAAAGAGAGAAATAATGCAATAAGCCCGGGAGGGGACTGGAACCCTGAGGAGCAAAGAGGTGGTTAGAGTCCTTGTAGTCAAGGGCGATAATGTTATTGCAGATTCTCCTTACAATGGAGGTCATGATGCTTACACAGAGAGAAACAGTACTGCCCATTTTTTGCATTTATATATAATGTTAATCTGATTGTCTAAGGTGTGGACAAAGAGCTGCTTTATAAGTAGGGATGCACGATATTGGATTTTTGGCCGATATATGTTAAAACTTATTTGTCCAATAACTGATACCAATATTTTTATATACTTTCCTTTGTCAGAACATAACCCTCTTATTTAGGCTTATTTGCTACAAAAATTGTGCAACAGCTGTAAGAGCTGGTGACATATATTTAGTAACAGTCAGATGATATGCATGGCACTTTAACTTATACTAAATGAAAAGTGTTAAATGTTATTTATTAGCATTAATCACCTGCGATGCTGTCTCACTTGTGGAGGCTTGTTCCAGGTTCCTAGCTGCAGTGTGGGATCTTCTGCACTCTTGTGCATGAAGGACAGACTTTTTAAGATAGAAGTTTTTGTCTATCCATTGTGCCGTAAGACGAATCATGCTAACGGGGCTAACATGATGTCCAAATGTTTGTGGTAAAACTCACCCAAGTGCTATCAGCTATTAGCTTCTCAATGATGATGGAAATGATGGCTTGTAACTCTGATAAGGTTACGTCAGAGAAATATCTCTGATTGGGGACGATGTAGCTAGGCTCAACGAAGTCCAAAAATCTTCAGAAGCCAATATCCTCAACAAAGAAAAAAAACAACAACCATCCACACAGCTGACATTTTGACTTCTTCCTCTCCGCCGTGATCAGATCAGATAGGCACGCGTGATGTCATCACGTTGTGCTGCAGCTACAGGCATCCTTGCCACTGGGTTGTCATACAAAAACAGCGTCTTTTATATCGGTGAGTTATTTTGATGGAATGACCGATGTTTGATATTTAACTTTAACGCTAATATAGGCAGATACCGTGGCAATAATATTGTGCATCCCTAATTATAAGCTCCTTCAGTGTTCTTGCTCATTGTTTCCTCTTTTGACGCTGGTTGGAAAGTGAAAAAAAGGTAACAAGATTAAAAGTTTCAGTCAAAATAAAATGGTCAATAACACAATTTGACGCTCTAAAACAAAACTTCCCCAAAAGTCTTCTGGATGTTAATGCTAGCAGAAGGGTGCATACTTTCAAAGTGGCTGTTAATTTCATGGCAGCTAGAAGGTAGTCATTTCACATAATCATATTTGGGGGAGTGGTGGCGCAGAGGTTAGAGAAGATGGGCCTGTGACTGGAAAGTGGCAGGTTCAACTCCAGGTACCGTCAACACCAAAATGTGGGTGGAAAAGGTGAAACACCCAAACCTGCCTCCAAACTCATTTGCTCCACTCTGGGCCCCTGAGCAAGGTCTTCAACCCCCCGACCTGCTCCCTAAACAGGTCTCTCTTGAAAATTAGTTCTCGTGATTCAATGAGACTACCTGTATAAATAAAGGGTAAATGAAAAAAACAAACAAAAAAAAAAAAACTCCGGCAGTTGTGAAAGTGAATTGTAACAATTAAAATCCTTGCCTCGTCACTCAAACACCAAGACTACCACCTCGGGTCTTATCATAGTTGTCCGTCTCTCAGTTTGCATGGAAGAATGTCTGTCCATCCAGCTGGATTGTAAAGTTAAACATGTTACAACAGAGCCAAGTTTCACTCAAAACAAATACACAACCATCTGTGTGACATTTGCAACTGCAGCGGTAAAATATTCTTCCTATTTTCCAAGGAATGTGTGCTTTAGTTTTCCGCAGTGTCTGGATCTCTGCCCAATTGCTCACATTTTTTTGTTTCACTTAATGTTTGAAGCACCCTGCATCCTTTTCTCAGGTCAGTTGCATCTTTGATAATTTGCTTAACAGCCTCTACTTCATAGTATATAGATCAAACCCACATTTAGTAAAATAATTTAAAAAAAAATCAGATTTTCTGCAAAATCTGTTATATCTAAAGCAAATGTGAGCAAGAATTTATACTTTTCTCTGTATCATATGCAACCACTTCATTTGTGCACAAATGGAAATTTATTTCAGTTAAATATTTTATCTAAAAATGTAAAAGTTAGCATTCCTTGAATGAATATGTATCACTTACCACCTGTCAGGCCAGAGTTTTATACTAAGATCATGCTATAATGGAAAATAGCAGCGTTAGCCACTTTGGTTGTTACTATGTTAAATCTTGAGAGATCTGTATGCACTCAGATTATGTAAATGGTAAATGGACTGTACTTCTATAGGGCCTTTCTATCTAATCAAGATACTCAAAGCACTTTACACTACAATCTGTGTCCTCATTTACCCATTCACACAGCACTCTACTAGATCTCTACAAAGCTAATTGAACAAATCATTCTAATGAGACTAATCAGAGCTTTATCACATTCATACACTGATGGGACACACATCAGAGGCGATGAGGGGTTCAGTGTCTTGTCCATGGACACTTCGGCATGTGACTGCTGGTGGATTCGAACCCCCAACTCTTGCATTGGAGGACAACTGCTCTAACCACTCAGCCACAGTCAGTGTTGGGGATGATTCTCAGCTACCACCACACCAGATTTATGCTTTGTGTCTGTAAAATAATTCCTGTTTTTCTGGATGTAAATCACATTTTTTGGATGCCTGTTTCCTCTGGTATCAGATGCTGTGCAGCTGGAAGGATTTTACTGAAACTTTTTTAGTTTTGGACATTTGTTATGATGCGTAACCATGGCAACAAGGCAGTTTTCTACATCCAACAACAGCTGATTAACATCTCAAAAGCTCAAATAATATCTCAACTACAACCCCAAATTTCAAATGAGTTGAAAAGGATGTTCTGTGGATGCATTCTCATCTACCTGCGAGCTGTGCTCGAGTGCCTGACCACTGAGATCCTGGAACTAGCAGGAAACACGGCTCATGACTGCGGAAGGACAGGATCGTCCCTCAGCATCTACAGTTGGCTGTCTGCAGCGATGAGGAGCTCGGCAGACTGCTGGGAGGAGTGGCCATCGCTCTGGGAGGAGTTCTGCCTAGCATTTGGGCGGTCCTACAGTCCAGGGGAACTGAGAGGCCATCCGAGTCTGGGTGGATGGATTGGATGGCATCTGCAGCCAGTTTCTTAGGATCCACTGTGGGATGGACCTTTATAAGAGATCCTTCCTGCCTACAGTCATCAGTATCTTTAACATTGAGGATAACGAGTTACAACAACAAATAATTTCCCTTTGGAATTAATAAAGTATAATTGAATTGAATTGAAATTGGCAGTTATAGCCATTTATGTTTGCCATTTTGATTGGGGTTAGCTCCTAAAGTTAATCAGTTTTAGATGTACGCCCAATGACTACTTTCTGAAAGTTTCATTGAAACCTGCCCAGACACAAAATTATTTATTCCTTTTTCCTTGGTGCATTCCTTCAAGAAATGAAACACAAGTTTTCTTGAACTTGTGTTTCATTTTCTTTTTTCTTTTTACTACAGATTTTACTATATGGGGCTTATATTCTTGGTAACTTTGTTTTAATTATCATGTTTTGACTGATAGCTTGGAAGTTTTTGCTCAACATTGCTTCCTTTCATTAGACATTAGCATTTTTATTAATATTTATTTTAAAAGTAACTTTGTTCTTCAGTTTCAGCTCCACGGAGGCTGCGTTTTAAAGTGCAGAGTCCCAGCAAACTCCTTGTTTCATGGCGGGAGCCCAAAGGAAATGTTGACAGCTATTTATTTTTCTACAACAGCATACCAGGTAGGACATTTTAAACACACACACACATGTTCACACAGTCCTTTGCTGAAGACTAGTGTAACACTAAACACCTGAGGAAGGAATTAGGAGTTGGATTTTCTATCTGCCAAAAAAAGATTATGCAATTTACATCTTATCAAACCTTCTTTGAAATAATTACACTCTTGAGAGATGCTGAGGCCTCAAGGTTTGTTTTGCAGCTTTGCCAAGTTAAAAGGTTGAAGAAAATGTTTCTGCTGAATATGGGAGCCTGTCAGCAGATTATAAAAACAGGACTAATAGATACATAGGACAGTAGGAGGAATTGTACTAACTCATGATGAAGGTCAGTCCAGGACAGATAAACTACATCATTTATCAAGAGTGCTACAATCAGCATTAATGTTTATTATGTTTTGTCTTGTATGTTGTTTTGCTGTTAAAAAATCTAACTATACACCAAAACATGCAGCTGGATCAGGAATAGTATGTTTTACTTTTAGCAAAATTATAAAAATGGCAGTCATTTGGCCATGTGTCGTGTGTGTGTGTGTGTGTGGGGGGAGTGTTAAGGTCAAAAATGGAAAAATTTAATCTATGACATTTTAATGAATCACATGAGTAAACAGTATTTTTGGAGCTCTTTAGCGTAGACATATTTTAAATGTTTTTACTGCAGTTTAAATATTCTCCAAACTTGAATTTAAAGTATTTTAACTTGTCATATCTCCTACAAAAAAACTGTAGAAATATATAAAAAAAATTGTGACTATAAGTCTTCTGCTGTTCACCATTTAAGAATTTTTACATTTTAGCTGATAGTTTTCATGCAGTGGTTTGTGTTTAGTTGAGGCTTAACATTCAGTCTGAATTATTGTCTGCCTCTTAACTTAGAAGCAGGGAGTGAGAAACATGTGTGTTGTTTCCATGGAGACCAAAATAAACCACTGGCAACAGCTATAACATTTATTTGTCTTAGTTCTTTAGACAATTATTATCGTAATCGTCTGGAACTTCTGTACAATGAAAATAAACTTAGAGGCATAATATGAAAATATGTCTATATTTCAGTTTTAAAGACGCAGTAAGTGTGAGACTTACACAGTTTATATGTACGTTTTTTTTTTCTTATCTAATTTATTACAAAGATAAGTTGTAATTTGCTGATTTGGCACTTTTGAAAAATTATTTTAAAAAATCTAGTTTCATATTAATTTGCATGATTACTGCATAGAGACAACGTGTGTCTTTTATTCTGCATGTGTCCGTAGGTGATCATTGTGCAGACAGAGTGCATTCACAGTGTAGCAAGAATCACTCTAAACACTGCTGACATCCACTTTACTGTGTAATCGCAGTGCACCTGCATTCACAGGCAAGCTTTCAGTCTTCCACTGGTGCAGCAACTCCACCTGCATGTAGTATGTTATTAATGCTGCACTTGATACGGCAGATAAATCTCATAAAGCCAGAAAAAAACAATGTGTATGACTGAATACGGGCTGAATATGAAATATGGTTATTACACATAACCTTTAGTTTAAAACAAAGCCTAATTTGGCAGTTTCTTGCTTCCTCTTTCAACCAAAAACAGATATATAACTCACATTTATGGTTTCTTCTTTCTCAGGAAGGATGGCAGCACAGTTGTTGTGGCATTTACAAAAAGCACTTTCAAATTGGAATTTAAAGATCATTATTATGTTCATGCAATTAAAAAAAATCTATTTGATGGCAATAAAAATAATGAAGACAAGAAGCCAGTCTTGTCTCCTTTGTCTCTTACTGCATCTGAGTCAGATAAGGTGTACAAAAGTTACCATAAAAACCGTTCAATAGCTCAAGTATTTTTGACAAGAATAAAACATTATAAAATCACATGGACTGGCAGTTAATCTTTTAATTCAATGTCTTTTTCTCAGATCCAGCAAATAGTACAACTGAGGTTTAGATGAGGCAGAAATATTACTGTACTTAAAAAAACAAAACAAAAGAAAACTGATTCACAGGATGAGTTCTTCATCTTTAAAACCTGGTCAGTTTTACTCATCAATTTGTCTTTAGTAACCTACATATCTGTCTTTGGTGAATTTGTTCTCAGGCTAAATAATTATCAAAATACTAGATATTTGTTAAATAATCTGGCCTCAGTTATGAAATTCAAATAGTGAATGCTGTCTCTGTGAACATTATGTCCAGATGTCTCTTTCTTGTTTTAGATCTTACTGGAGAAAAAACTGAATCCAAAGGAAACAAGTTCAGTTTTATTGTCGTAACCGTCTGGAACTTCTGTACAATGAAAATAAACTTAGAGGCATAATGTGAAAATATGTCTATATTTCAGTTTTAAAGATGCAGTAAGTGTTGCAAGCTTGCTGTGACTTGTGAGTTGATGGTGTTAGCGTCTACACTTGCAGCAGAGATGGATTGATGTATTTACCACAGCAGTGAATCAGTGCAGTGACGCTAATCAACATCTGAAACATTAATCTCCCTCTGTCCTACATGCGTTATAAGTTGTCAACACCAGGAGCAAGGCTGAAAATACTGAAGAAAATGTACACACTTTGTCTCACACAGTAATCATACCAAGGTCAAATTAAAAGGATTATTGATGGGTATTATATATATATATAAATGTGCTTACCACATATTACAACTAAAGGTCTAGCATTTCTTAAAGCAATGCATATCCCTGCCAACTTTTATGTGAGTTTTAAACAGATAATTTTTACAATGAAACTGTACCCATTTTGACAAAGCACTGAAAATAATCATTTGTGTGATCTGTATTAAAAAAACAACAACAGCCACTAGGGAGCACAAACCATTGTAACTCTTGTGCTGATCCCAAGCCCGGGTAAATGGTGAGGGTTGTGTCAGGAAGGGCATTCGACGTAAAACATGCCAAAACTATCATGTGAGTTCATCTAAGTGACATCATACCAGCTTGGTCAAGGCCCAGATTAACAACGACCACCACTGGTACTATTGACAAACAGGGCACTGACAGAAATTGTGCTACAGTACTGTTAAATGAAGACGAGGAGGGAAACATGTCAGGAAACAGAGGGCAAAGAAGAAAGTCAAGAATGTAGGACTGAGGGTTGCAACTCAATGTGGGGAAAATAGCAAAGGTAGAGAGCTGACTGACATGATGCAGAGAAGGAAGGCAGGCATTTTTTGTGTCCAAGAGAACAAGTGGAAGGGCAGCAAGGTTCATAGCATTGGAGTAGGGTTTAAACTGTTCTACCATGGTGTGGATAGAAAGAGAAATGGAGCAGGGGTTGTCCTGAAGGAAGAGTTGGCAAAGAATGTAGTAGAGGTAAAAAGAGTGTCCGATAGGGTGATGTGTCTGAAGGAAGAAGTAGAAGATATGATGCTAAATGTTGTCAGTGGTTATGCTTGGCAGGTTGGATGTGACATAGAGGAAAACGATCTTCTTGAAGGGATCTGGATGAAGTGGTAGAGAGTATTTCCAGGGAGGAAAGTGGTGATAAGAGCAGACTTGAATGGACATGTTGGTGAAGGAAACAGGGGATGAGGAAATGATGGGCAGGTTTGGCGTCAATGAAAGAAATCAGGAAGGACAGATGTTGGTGGATTTTGCCAAGACAGTGGAAATAGCTGTAGTCAACACTTATTTCCAAATGAGGGAGGACATAGAGTGACCTATAAGAGTGGAAACAGGAGTACGCAGGTAGACTACATTCTGTGTAGAAGAGGAAACTTGAGGGAGATTGGGGACTGTAAGGTTGTGGCAAGGGAGAGTGTGACCAGACAGCATCAGATGGTTGTGTGTAGAATGACTGTTGTTGTGAAGAAGAGAAAAAGAGTAAAATCAGAGAAGAAGAACAAATGGTGGAAACTGAAGAAGGAAGAATGTTGCGAGGAGATCAGAGAGGAGGTGTTAAAGGCTCTGGGTAGTACGAAAGAACTTCCAAATGACTGGGCTACTGCAGCAACAGTAATTAGAGAGATGGGTAGGAAGGTACTTGGTGTGTCATCTGGACAGAGAATGAAGGATAAGGAAACCTAGTAGTGGAATAGTGAAGTGCAGGAATCTATTCAAAGAAAAAGGTTAGCCAAGAAGAAATTTGACAGTGAGAAGACTGAAGAGAGGAAGCAGGAATATAAGGAGATGCAATTTAGAGAAAAGAGGGAGGTAGCAAAGGGAAAGCAGAAGGTGTTTGACAAGTTGTATTTGAGGCTGGACACTAAAGAGTGCAAAAAGGACTTGTACTGATTGGTAAGACAGAGATCAGGCTGGAAAGGATATGCAGCAGGTTAGTCTTGTTAAAGATGGGAATGGTAACATTTGAACAAGTAAGGAGAGCATGATGGAAAGATGGAAGGAGTACTTTGAGGAGGTAATAAATAAAGAGAATGAAAGGGAAAGAAGAGTAAAGGTCATAAAAATGTGGACCAGGAAGTGGGAAAGATTAGTGAGGATGAAGCTAGGAAAGCTCTAAAAAGAACGAAGGGGAAGGCAATAGGACCTGATGACATACAATGAAGGTTTGGAAATGACTTGGAGAGATGGCAGTGAGGTTTTTGACTCAGATATTCAATGACATATTTGAGGGTGAGAAAATGCCTGAGGAATGGAGGAGATATATGCTGAGAAATGTGCTAGTGCCCATATTTAAGAGCAATGGTGATGTACATAATTGTGGCAAGTTGGGGAATTAACTTGACAGGCCACACAATGAAGGAGAGAGTTGTGGAAGCTAGCCATAGATGAGAGGTGACTATTTGTGAGCAGCAGTATGATTTCTTTACAAGAAAGAGCACCATAGATGCCATCTTTGCTTTGCGGATGCTGATGGAGAAGTACAGAGAAGGTCAGAAAAAACTCCATTGTGTCTTTGTGGATTTAGAAAAAGCATATGACAAGGTGCCAAGGGCGGAAGTGTGGTATTGCATGAGGAAATCTGGAGTGACAGAGAAGTATGTTAGCCCGACATGTATGAGGACAGCAGGACAGATAGACTGTAGCAGTGACAGATGACAAGATGGAGGTGGGATTGAATCAAGGATCGGCTCTGAGCCCCTTCTTGTTTGTTCTGGTGATGGACCAACTAACAGATGAGGTCAGGCAGGAATCCCTGTGGACTATGATGTTTGAAGATGGTGTGATCTGTGGTGAAAACAGGGAACAAGTGGAAGAGAACTTGGAGAAGTAAAGGTATGCACTTGAAAGAAGAGGAATGAAAGTCAGCCGTAATAAGACAGAGTACATGTGTGTGAATGAGAGGGAGGCCGGTGGAACAGTGAGGCTACAAGGAGCAGAGGTCACAAAGGTGCAGGACTTCAAGTACTTGGGTTCAATTATCCAGGAAAATGGGGAGTGTGGTAAAGAGGTGAAAAAGAGTGTCCAGGCAGGATGGAGTGGATGGAGAAAAGTTTCACTTACTGCCAAAGCTAATCAACTGTAAATGTACATCCTTTTTAAGTGTTCCATGGAAAGCCATTCATTGGTTCAGGAGACTTGTTTTAAAGAATTGTCTCTAATAGGTAATGGTAAAGTAAAGATTCAGTAAAGATTGAATAAACATCAAATGGGTTTTCTGTTCTCATTTAACAGCCTGCATAAAGACGAAATTTGAACTCCCAATGAAGGTTTGCAGAAGCAAATCCATCGTAGAGTTTAAATATTTATGGATCACATTGTTTGCCTGAATTTACAGTGATGGACAATATTATTTTTTATGATGGATTTACATTTTAAAACTCTGACTAGAATTGAATCTAATATAAATATATATTTATATATTAAATTAATATTTCAAGCAACACAGAACTAGAAATCCATCTAACTTTAAAATGACTTTCTTTGATAACTAACTTTCAATAATTGAATCTAACTTTTTAAAATGTTTCTGTATTTCAGGTGGTCAACAGAAGGAGGTCATAGTGTCGAAATCTGACACTAACGTGTTGATAACAGACTACAAACCTTCGAAGGACTATGTTTTCAGTGTTGTTGCTGTTAGAGGCAAAGAACAGAGCAGACCCCTTCAAGGCAGATTTAAAGGTCTGTTTAAAAAAATACTTCTGTCCCACTGTTCTCTGTTTTGTTGCTCTCTGCTCTTCATGTTTAGATTTAACTTGACTCTTCTACATTGAATATTGTTATGATCTGCACTGTTTCCTTCAATAGCCTTTAAGTCAATTTTGGTTTGTATTTGTTCTTTTTTCTATGACTGTAAATATTTAATAGCATTTCAGTTCTATTGTAACTTTTTTATATATTCTTTTTTGTACTTTTTTCTTCCTCAAACTTTAAACATTTAATTCAAATTGCTTTATTTACCTCTCATTTTTGTGCTCTATATACAGTATGTTTTCTCTCTAGCAATTTCGTTCTAATTTATTTCATGTTTTTGTTTTAAATCATATTTAATCATTTCCTACAGTCATTTGCAAAAGTATTCTTCTTGCCTCACACCCTAAACTTAAATTTAAAATCTAAACTTAAATAAATAATAATAATAATTTAAATTTGTACACATCTTTTATGATTGTCTATTGTTGTTGTCATCCCTCTTTGTTAAAAAATTCAGTTTTCTCTTGTAAATGAGTCCCTGAGGCTCGATGGGATTAACCTGTTTAAATAAAGGTTGACTGAATGAATGAATGAATGAAAATAAATTAAATTTTGAATTTTATTATAGATAACTATTTTACAAAAAAAAAAAAACACCTACAGATTATTGAAGTTAATGGGAAAAAAAACATGTTTTAAATCAATCTAAAAAAAAAATCTCAGTAGGGCATTCTTTGCTTTGAAACCTCAACTGTTTATTTAGAAACAATAATTAAATAAATATAATTTAATTCAGTGTCAAATGACATCCATCTGTTGTAATAGTTTCCAGAATCAACACCAGTTCCACACCTCATTCGTTCATTCAACCTTTATTTATACAGGTTAATCCCACTGAGCCTCAGGGACTCATTTGCAAGAGAGACCTCATAAGACCCTTCCTGGTTTACTCAGCTCACATCGACTCAGCATCGGCCAAACTTGTCCACATTCCCTGTTCCTGCTTGGTTTTTGGAACCGCCTCAGCTGTGGTTCCAAGCGAGCCGAGCTGTGCAAGTGATTTTGATGTCAAACTGCAGCCGACAATTGGCCAACGGATTAACGTCACTGTATGAGCCAAGGCAGTACTTTCAAACTCCTCCTGAAGTGCCATTTTCAATCCGACTGTTGAGTGTACATGTGTGTTACTGAGATGGAGAGCTGCAAATCAGATTATTCCGTGGTCAAATGATGAGGTGCAAACCTTGTCAGTTTTGTCAGACGGGCACATACAGCGTGGGCTTGACCGAGCAATGAGGAACGAGCGAGTTTACCGGGAGGTGTCGGAGAAAATGGCCGTCCACAACTCAAACATATAAACAGTGCCGGGACAAATTTTAAAAAATGAAATCCTACTACTGCCTGCTTTGCACTGACATTGTGTGCTGTTCTTTTTGTTCATATGAAGTTAACAAGAACTTTTTTTTTAGACTTTTGACCTTGACCTTAAAGCTGGGGTGATGAAAAGATGATGCACCATGCCGTTTAGTGGTGTTACAACTGTGTATAAAGTGGTTTTAAATGGTCCTGAGTGTATCAGAAGTTATGGCACAGACAAGAGAAAGTTTACAGACATACAGTATGGACAGATGGACAGACGTCTGTTCTTCTGGACAAACAAAGACCATACCAGATTATGTCTGTACGATGAGCATATAATAATTACTACCAAGCTAGAGACAACATGAAGACATCTCCACACAGGTCGTAGACAGTTACAAAGAATACCAACAGTTCATGCTCAATAATCCAGGTACAAATCCAACAATGTTCAGTCAGGTCATCTGGACGGTTTCTTTTTTTTTTCTGAGACATTTCATCCTTCATGTGAAAAACTTTTTCAGTCCGAGAATCCACAAACTGCAGTTACAGAGAAGTAAAAATGATGGTTGAGCTACAGAGAATATCCTAAACCTTGCATATCCCACAGAGCGCCATTAAATTAATTATTAGAAAATAAAAGGTTGATACCATCACATTACACTCTCCAACCGAGGGTCATTCATCAAAACTCATGGACTGAGTAAGGAGGCCATTAATCAGAAAAGCAACCAAAAGGCCAAGGTGACTGTGATGGAGCTGGACAGCTCTTCTGCAGATATGGAAGGGACTGTCCAAAGGGCTAATGTAAAATGCACAGAGACTGGCATTATGAGAGAGTGGTTGAGCAAAGACTTGGCTTTAAAAAATGCTGGCATATTTAAAATTTCTTGTGATGAAAAAGGAGCTAAACATTTAGGCCATCAAGGACAACACCATTTCTGAAGCAAATCTACCACCTCTCATACAGTAAGTTACTAAGAACACCATCTCTAAAGTGAAGCATGGTGGTAGAGGCATCATGCTGCGTAGATAGTTGTCATTGGCAGAGACGGGGAATCCTGTAAGAGGAGCTAAATGCAGAGAAATTATTGAAAAGGAATCTGAGTTTTTTTTTTTTTTAAATTTGAGACTTGGACTGCCCAGACTGAAACCCAACTGAGACTTTCAGATTTGATTTAAAGACAGTTGGAAACAAGCGGCACCCATCCAGCCTAAAGGAACTGAAGCAGTTTGGTCAAAAGGATTTAAAATATTCAGTGGTTACATGTTGCAATGCTTATGGAGACATAAGTAATGAGACTTGTTGCTCTGACTGCTGCAAAAGATAGTACTACTATGTGTATGTGTGGGTGAACACTTACCAAACCATTTTTCCATTTTAGATTAAAAAATATATTTAAAACAAGTATTTTTATAATTTAACTTAATTAATCTGGAGTATTTCATTGTATAATTATTCATTTAAAACAAATTTAAAACCTATTTTATGCTAAAGTTGTTCAAGTACAAAATAGAAAGAATACAAAAGGGGATTAATACTTTCACAAGCCACTGTTTCTAAACATTTGTCTTGAAATATTTTGTTTATTTAGTGTCTAAGAACATTGTAAGTAGTGCAAAGTTGAAAGATGACCTTTGTAATTCTAATTTCATTCTTTTTTTTTTTTTTTTTGCATAATAATAATAATTCTAGCTCATAAAGCTGAAAGCGGTGATGAATGGGACAAGACTGAGGCCTACCAGCCCACGGACTCAGCTGGGCCTCCTGTCGAAGCCAACGAGATCTCTGGGGGTATGACAAACACACACAAAACTGTTTCTAAAAGACCAGACTGTGTGTAAATCTCTGCTCTTTAAATGAAAATGTAAATAAAATGAATTCTATTGAAGGATCTCTTCTTCAAGCGGTCTCCCACCTGTTACCTTAGTCGTGTTTGGAGGATGGAAAAACAGTCAGTGTTGCTGTTTTTAACACAAACTTGGCAGATCAGAAATCCAAAACTATGTCTAGAGTCTGTGCATCCATGGAGTCCAGTGGCATAAGGACTTTGTGAGAAACAAGTACAATGAACTCTATACTTTTTTCTTTTAAATACATTTTCTGATGGGTGCACCTTTTTCTGACCCAACAAGGTAAAGCAAATATGTGAAGTGATAAGATAGATGAAGCAGTGACATGATCAGCTTTAACCCACGTGCAGGAAGGCAGGAGGACTCAGGGTTAAACAATGATAATTATTTATTTTAAGCAATAACAAAATAAAACTGCTGACGGGGCAGCAAAACTTACTTGAACCAGGAAGAGATGGAAACATAGCGCAAGATATGATACCGTGAACGGATAATGCCTAGACACCAGGGGAGTGACAAGACACAGACTAATAAAGCTGAGTGGGGAACACCTGGGGTGATTAGGATTCAATGCAGGTGTGAGCAGGAGCAGAAACACTAGAAATGTAAAAACGCTGGGAGGTGCACAAAGACAGACCAGACAGAAATCCCACAAGCATTCCCAGTTCCTGAAATTGGTTGAGTCTCTCTTTGTTCACACCTGTCTGTGCAGCTGTTTGTTGATTGAGAAGTCATCCATCCATCCATCCATCCATTATCTTTACCCGTTTATTCCATTTTGGGTCACGGGGGTCGCTGGTGCCCATGTCCAGCAATCAATGTGCGAGGGGCGGGGTACACCCTGGACAGGTCGCAAGTCCATCACAGGGACACATAGAGACAAACAACCATTCACTCTCTCATTCACACCTAGGGACAATTTAGAGTTACCAATCAGCCTAACATGCATGTTTTTGGTCTGTGGGAGGAAACTGGAGTACCCGGAGAAAACCCACGCATGCACGGAGAGAACATGCAAACTCCACCCAGAAAGGCCCCCGGACCGGGATTTGAACCAGGGACCTGCTCACTGAGAGGCAGCAGCTCTACCAGTTGTGCCACCGTGCTGCCCATTTGATAACATATTGTATGATATTATGGACTGTGTGACATATAACATACTATGTACATATAGTATATAAATATACTTTGTAGTACATATTATATAAATATATATTATATTATATTACAATTTTAATTTACAGTAATTGACAAGTAATTAATCACCATCCATGTCAAGTAAAATCTGTGTGGACTTTGGAACATTTTACATGTTTACAAAAATCACAAATGTTATTTTTAGCTGCTCTTAACTACAAGTAGGCATACTCATGATTGTTTTTGTTTATTCGTCTTCATTTTCAAATTTGAGACAGCACTAAGCTTGATGACGTCACTTCTAATATCGTGGACCACATGTTCAAAGTCTTAACTTTTTTTTCTTTGTTTACTTGGACATCTTCATTTGTTGACACCAGTATCAGTGTATTTTAACCAAGACATCATCAGGTAATGTTTTACTGGATGTTTTTTATTGGGTATGATGGTTCACATTAGCTATGATAGTAAAATAAATGTGTGTGTGTGTGTGTGTGGGGGGGGGGGGGGGGGGGGGTGCAGTTGCTGGATACTAATGACAAATTCTGGAGAGTGCTGGACACATTTCACATAAAAGTTAACATAGCATGCATTGAAATTGGAAACACTTAAGAAAATACACATGTACTTTAAAATATAAACATTTAGGTCTTCTGAGAGTTTGGAAATCCACTAAAGATCAACCCATAAATACAGTGGCTGATTTATTACAGCTAACAGTAAAACAGTCTGTGGGAAATGTGTTGCCAACTCTACAGACAAATGATGACAAAATTACTGTTTTGAATAAAAAACAGTGACTCGTTGCAGCGGTGAGCACAGGTCCAGGTCTGATTTGTGAGTCAGTCCGTCCAATCAAAACCCAAACGTGTCGTTGAAGTGTCTCATCTTTGAAGCCAGAAATTAACTTTCTGAAATACTTATCCAGGGGCAGCTGTGGCTGAGTGGTTAGAGCAGTTGTCCTCCACTGGGAGTGTTGGGGGTTCAATTTCACCAGCAGTCACATGGTGAAGTGTCCCTGGGCAAGACACTGAACTCCTCATTGCCTCCGATTTGTCCCATCGGTGTTTGAATGTGATAAAGCTCTGATTAGTCTACAGATTCGGATTATCTTGTATAGACCTAGGAGAGTGCTGTATGAATGGGTAAAAGAGGGCACAGATTGTGTTGTAAAGCACTTGGAGTATCTTGACTAGATAGAAAAGCACTATATAAGTAAGAGATAAGAGATTCATCATCAGCTCAGATGAGGTTCCGTCACATGTCCACGGCCTTGGGGGAGGGGTGAGGAGACAGACAAAGCATCTTTGTTTTTTTCTAAACATGCCAGGAGGAGTTGAGAAAAGTCTGCCGTCAAGGCCACAGTTTGGGCCAGGCAGAACTTGTGAATTGCAGTTTCTACCTTTTACATTCTTGCTGGTACATTTCTCTGATGGAAACTCTAAACAGCCGAATTGATTCCTTACGCCGAAAGTCGAGCTCACAGCTTTCTCCAAGATTATTCCCAAAGTTCACAGTCCTGATAACAGCCTGCTCTAGCTCCCTGACGCAGCTCTACATAATTCAGTCTGAGTGCTGCCAAGCTTCGACGCAGCCATAAAATTTGTAGACAATCCAGATTTCACCAATCCAATTTGCAGATCTGTTTTACAGCTGTAAATGTGAGGAAGTGAACAGGTTCATATTAGAAAGTTTGAGATCCACAAAACTGGACAAGCAAAAATGCCTCAAAATGTATGTTCACTTGATTTACTTGTGCACACTGAACTTGTAAAAAAATAGTTAAATTACCTCTGGATCCACTTGTTTTTACTGTATATCCAGATACTAAAGCAGACAGGTTTTTGATCTCTCCTGTTCGGTTCTGCTTCCATCTCAGTAGGTAGATTATAAAGCTGGATTTTCTTCAGCCTTCTGTTATTAGGCCCACCTTCCATTCTCTGTAGCACCGCAGACTTTGATTGGTGTTCTGCCTCCAACCTGTTGGGGATTATAATAATATCCTGCTGAGCCTCTGTAGAAATAGTGAATATAGCGAGCATGTCTGCGTACGCAGCGGTAGTGATAATAATAATGTGTCACTGTGGATCAGTAGAAGAGGCTCCTCTTCTCTCTCGCTGTGATGCTGTGTGTGTATATTTATATTCTGAGGTGATAATACCAGTGTCCTGCTGAGCTCCTAAGAGATGATGCTATAGAAAGTCTCACAGTGCTTGTGTGTGTGTCTCTGTGTGTGTGTGGATTAGCAGTCCATCTTTGTTCCAGAGTAGCAGTCAGTTTGCTTTCATGTCAGGTTGTCTTCTTTACAAAACCTTTTTGTTATTACACTCTTTCCTTCCTGTAAACGTGGGGAGTAAACTGATTTATAAGGGTTTAAGCAGGGTTATTGCATGAAAAGTGCACAATCATTCATGGTTTGTTTGCAAAATATCCAATGAACCACTGGCAGACAGATTTGAATAAAACTCTGAAAGTAGGGCATCTACAACTGATTAACTTTTGTAGTCCACCCAGTTCACGATAGGTGCCACAGCTAAACTTTAGCTAACTATGGTAGGCTACTCAGCTTTAGTAATTTTACTGATACTGAGCTAAAATTTGGTTTGGTAGAAGCTGAAAGTGATTCCCATCACATATTGAGTGTTAAGAAATTGCGAAGTTGTTTAAACTTTTGGCAGATCCAATAGAAGGCCTTGCTGTGCTCAACAGGAACAGGCCTGACAACGTCAGCCAGAATCAACTGTGCACTATGGTTAGAAGAACATGTGCAATTAAAGAATTGTTTCCCCTAAAGGGATTCGTTTACATTTATTTATTTTGTATGTCCCTGTGATGGACTTGTGACTTATACAGGGTGTACTCCGCCTTTCACATAGTGACTGCTGAGACAGACGCCATCTGCACCGCTACCTGAAAAGAAAAAGTGGGTAAAAGAGAGTCGATGGATGGATGGATGGATGGATGGATGGATGGATGGATGGATGGATGGGTTCGAATGAAACTCCACAAGTAAATATTGGTTGTATATTTACAACTAATTATGCTTTAGAGTTATTCCATTGCTAATTAATCTTACTGTAGCTACAACACAGTCCATTATACATCTGTAGTTATTAAACTAAAAGTTGGTGTGGTAGTAACTGAGAGTTGTTCCCTGCAGAAATTGAGTACTAACAAATTGCATGAGGTATTTGAATGCAACATTAGCAAACAGTGTGGTGCATTTTTTTCAAGAAGATAGTTTCTCTGTTTCTTTTCCACATATTGTTACATCTTTTTATCTGAACTTTGTAAAACTGACACATTTTAGATCTCTCTTTTTTTAAATATCACTATGAATTTGCTTGTGATCTTTGCTGGCTAAAGAAAAAAAAAAAATCCACTAAAGTACTTGTTTTTGGCAAATCTTTAAAATACATTTTTTTACTCTCCAGAATGTAAACACATCTCTGTACTTGCCTTTCAAACTCTGTTTACAGGATTTTAAGTGTCAAAACTTAATTATATGTTGCTTCCATTTTGAGACAAAGGGATACCAATCTCCTTAAAACTGTTTTATACAAATAATTAAATCCGTTAATAAAGATTTCATTTTTCTTCATATGATCCACAGAAAGTAACTTTTTCTTCTTTACATTACATCTATTTTTTTAATTGTAAACTGTAAATTCTCCCATTTTTCACTTTAGTAACGTTTGTTGGGAACCTCGGTTCCGTATAAACACTATTTGCAGGGAATATCCTCAAAGGACATCTCTTCTGCAATATCCTTGTTTTTCCTTTATTTTAAAATCTGTAATAAAC